TTCTAGTGCATCTCGGTGCCGATGACGAACACAACACTATCCGTGATCTCTTGGTATGCTCGTAATTGTAGCCCACGCGATTTCCTTCCAAGAGATGAAACTAGAGATGACCTAAACCATGCAAAACAAAGATCCTTCACCCCGTGCTCGCTTGACCTCATCACCCACAAAAATGCAAAGGGATCAGTCGGTGGCATTCTCTTTGCTCTCGGGTCCTCAATCTTCTCGGTCCTAATAGCATCTCTAACCAATCCCTTATATTTAGAACAGTAAACTGTTGAATATCCTTTAACTGTTTTGAAATAATTTTTTTTACGAAATCAGTAGTCAGGGTGTAGTATTGCCACCCAGCCGGCGCGGGTTCGAACCTCGGTTCCTACACCGGGTCTCACATCTTCTTCTTTAATATAAAAATCAGTAGGGGCTTCTCCCCCTACTGGTCGAGTTTTTTTTACGAAATCTCAAAACTATATCCGTGTTTGAAAAAAAAAGCAATTATATCATCTGGTTGTTCCCATGTGGAACGAAGAGCATCTCTTAGCGTTCTTTTAAGGTAAACATCTTCGAAACAGGCTCACGCCCCGCTTTATAATTAAAACAACAAACAAAGTACACGGTTGAACGATATAGAGTAGAGAGGTAACTCTCTTACACAACAGATCCTAGAATAACGGGAGCGTGACTACACTACCGAAACAGAACACAAGGAAGACAGAGTATAACGCCACACTACTACCTCTTGAGCACTGCGTTGGATTTCCCCGAAGAGGAGAGGATGATGCAGCAAAGTAGTGTAAGTATTTTTCTCAGTTTTTGAAAACCAAGGTATCAATCCAGTAGGAAGCTACGCGCGAGTCCCTCGTACCTACACAAAAACAATAGCTCAACGCAACCAACGCGATTAGGGGTTGTCAATCCCTTCACGGTCACTTACGAGAGTGAGATCGGATAGAGATGATAGATAATATTTTTGGTATTTTTGATATAAAGATGCAAAGTAAAATAAAAGGCAAAGTAAAAAAGCAAAGCAATAATAAAGTGATAGAAGATTAATATGATGAGAATAGACCCGGGGGCCATAGGTTTCACTAGTGGCTTCTCTCAAGAGCATAAGTATTTCTACGGTGGGTGAACAAATTACTGTTGAGCAATTGACAGAATTGAGCATAGTTATGAGAATATCTAGGTATGATCATGTATATAGGCATCACGTCCGAGACAAGTAAACCGACTCCTACCTACATCTACTACTATTACTCCACTCATCGACCGCTATCCAACATGCATCTAGAGTATTAAGTTCAAGAAAACAGAGTAACGCTTTAAGCAAGATGACATGATGTAGAGGAATAAATTCATGCAATATGATAAATATCCCATCTTGTTATCCTCGATGGCAACAATACAATACGTGCCTTGCTGCCCCTACTGTCACTGGGAAAGGACACCGCAAGATTGAACACAAAGCTAAGAACTTCTCCCATTGCAAGAAAAACCAATCCAGTAGGCCAAACCAAACTGATAATTCGAAGAGACTTGCAAAGATAACCAATCATACATAAAAGAATTCAGAGAAGATTCAAATATTGTTCGTAGATAATCTTGATCATAAACCCATAATTCATCGGTCTCAACAAACACACCGCAAAAAGAAGATTACATCGAATAGATCTTCACGAGAGAGGGGGAGAACATTGTATTGAGATCCAAAAAGAGAGAAGAAGCCATCTAGCTACTAACTATGGACCCGGAGGTCTGAGGTAAACTACTCACACTTCATCGGAGGGGCTATGGTGATGATGTAGAAGCCCTTCGTGGTGAATTCCCCTTCCGGCGGAGCTCCGGAACAGGCCCCAAGATGGGATCTCGTGGGTACAGAAGTTTGCGGCGGTGGAATTAGGTTTTTGGCTCCGTATCTGATCGTTTGGGGTACGTAGGTATATATAGGAGGAAGGAGTACGTCGGTGGAGCTTCAAGGGGCCCATGAGGCAGGGGGCGCGCTCTAGGGGGTGGCCCTCCATCCTCGAAACCGCCTCTCTGGTTTCTTGACGGAGGGTCCAAGTCTCCTGGATCATATCTGATGAGAAAATCACGTTCCCGAAGGTTTCATTCCGTTTGGACTTCGCTTGATATTCCGTTTCTTCGAAACACTGAAATAGGCAAAAAAAGCAATTCTGGACTGGGCCTCCGGTTAATAGGTTAGTCCCAAATGTAATATAAAAGTAGAAAATAAAGCTCAATATAGTCCAAAATAGTAGATAATATAGCATGGAGCAATCAAAAATTATAGATACGTTGGAGACGTATCACACACCACGCATTAGCACGTCTAGTCTCCACGACAACACCCTCAAGAGGGAGAACGGCACCGAGCGTCGCCGTTGTCACGTCTGAAGCGGGCATGGGTCTTCACCTAGAGCCTTGGCACGGAGAGGAGAACCACAACGACGTCTTCAAGGCGATAGCGGCGCCCGTTGGGTTCATCGTCGTTGCCGCCAAAGCACGGAGCTTCTGCTCCGCAGCTCACCCATACCATCACGATGATGCGCCTGGTCATTCATGGCGAGTTCCAACTCCCAGATCTGGACCTGGGCGACGCCTATGTCAATGACATGTACCGTTTAAGGTAAACATCGCTCCTCTTTATTCAACTGCGATGTTTATAGGGATCATTACAGGATGCGCTGAGCCAAGCCAAACATGCTAGCCATAAGAAAAAGATAAAGCAAATTTAGCTAAATTGTAAGCCTCAAAGTTGCTCTTCCTACTCTGGAAAGAAAACCCCAAATGATAAGTGCTATACATGTGGCACGATGCACTCAGCCCTGACTTTTTTACAACTAAAGTTATTATCTCAAAAAAAAACTAAAACTTGCCATCCGAAAAGAAAGTTGACATGATTGAGAACTAAAATTGCCATCCTCACGTCATTAAACTTGTCATAAAAACGTTCAAAGTTGTCATGTGCGTTCGTGCCACACTTGTGGTACTTATCAGGGTCCTTGAGTGAATATTGAGATGGCACACTTAATATAGTGCATGTTGATTTCTTCCTACTCCGAGAAGAAATAAATATCTAGTTAGAATAGAGAAAATCAACTAAGTTAGCGAGAGTCATGGGATGAAAATGAATTTCCTCTGGGATTAGAAAGGACCCAATCGAAAAGAAAAGAAAAACGAACAGTGGAAAAAGGAGCGGCCCTAGTCCAACCCGCCGAACCATTCTCCACTTTCTCCCGCACACACACTCTCACCCAGACCTATGGTTGGCCACCATGGAAGCACCGCCATCGCGACTCGCCGCCGGTGATCCCGGATGAGCTCTTCAAAGAGTTCCTCCTCTTCCTCCCACCCGAAGACCCCACCTTCCTCCTCCGCGCCTCCCTCGTCTGCAAGGCCTGGAGCCACACCATCTCTAGCCAAAGATTCTGATGCCGCCTCCATGAGCTCCACGACATACCCCCTGTGCTCGGCTTCCTCCACAACTCGGAGGACGATTTCATCCCCCGATTCATCTCCACCACCGCATCGTCCTTCTCCCTTGCTGCCCCAGACCGTCTCACCTGCAGGGCCCTCATTGCCGCCATGGACATACCCTCTTCTTCGCCCAAGGATTTGGTGGTCTGGAATTATACTCCCGTGGGAGCCAATCACGGGTGCCCACAGCGCATACCACTGCCCGCGGAGTTCCGAAGCAACTACCGACCGCGGCCGTGTTCTGCTCAGCGGACGGGTGCGACCACCGCGATTTCCTCAGGGGTCCTTTCCGCGTGGTCTTCCTCTCCGCCGTATTATTCAATAGCAATACTATAGAGTTAGGACTTGCATCTTTTGTCAGGATATGTGTATTCTGCTATGCATTTAATCAAAGTGCAATTAATGGAGTGATAGATGTTATTCTATTTCTATTTGAGAAGAGTTACATGCCTTTGATGTTGGCTTATTGTAAGTATCTCATCGATGTGCCTCCATCCGCCTTAGGTTGTGTTAGTTTTTCCAAGCTTATCCAGTGCACCTTATTCTCATTCTCTTTTTGTGTCCAAAAATATCTACAACCATCATACTTTTTTTAGGGATTCCAATCATCATACTTAGTTGAGGCTGCAGTGAGTGTATGCGCGTATATATGAGCGCCTATTTATGAAAAAAAAGCATCTCTTTGTTGTTTTAATGAAGAAACCAGCCTGGAAATCTCGGAGACACGCATTTTGGGCCGGCCCATTTAGCTACCGAAGGAAAACATGTAGGCCCAGTCCCAGTTTCCTTTTCGCCCAACCGCTAGTAGGCCTCACGTCGCAGTCCCTTCCAGCCCAAACCAAAAATTCCCAATCTCCGGTGGCTCCTCACCGCCGGCTCTTCCACGGACGAAGCGCTCTCGCCGCTGGGGACCTCCTCCCGCGCGCCGGCAGCGTTGCGGAGAAGCCTCTCCGCCCCCAGCCCACCGCGGTGTCACCCTCATCGTCTCCCAGGAAGCCCGCCTCGCCGCTGCCGATGGTCGCCGCGCAGGAGCCGAGGGAGGAGTGCCCGCCGGACCTCAGGAGCGGGCTCTTCAGCGCCGACGACTCCCGCACGTGCAGCCCCAAGGTGAAACCCTGCTCCTGCGTTTACTTCTTTCCGCCGCTCCGTCGAGTCACAGCCGACCTGTTGCGCTTGCGCGTCGCCGAGGGTTTCGGCCGCCTCTGACATTGAGCATTAACTGGAAGGCGTGCCGAGGGTTTCCGTGATCGCCTCGGGGCTTGGTGGGGACAGGTCGCCGTGGTTAAATTCAGCAGATTGATACTAATCAACAGCCGTAGTTGCGTTTCCATCTTGGAATTCAGATTTCAGAGCTGGCATACAGTCGTAGCAGCAGCAGCAGCAGCGGTAGCAGCAGTGGAGATAATCAAACAATTTACGGGCTATAGAGATTGTAGTTCCTGTCACCATATGTAACTATGCTCTGTTTTGGTATTTCTGAATAAAGTTACTATGTGCACAGCTAAATGATGGATGCTTGATTTATGTTGCAGCAACTGGACGACGAAGATAGGCTCAGCGCTCTCACTGATGATATTTTACTGACTATCTTGGGGAGAGTCAGTTCACTTGTGGCTACAAGGACAAGTGTGCTCTCTACACGGTGGAGGCGTCTGCCTTGGTTGCTGCCTGAACTCAGCATCGATGTCCAGGATTTCCTATCCGCCCCTTTCGCTGACCTTGTTGAGGCAAATGATATGGAACAAGCCATGGCGTCTTTGACCAAAGCAACCAGGAGTTTGTTGGATAAACAACAGAGAGGATACCCTATCTCAAGTTTGTGCCTTAACCTCTATTTGATCAACACTTTCCTTTGCGAAGTTGGCCCACTGTTAGGTGATGCAATCGACAGTGATTTGTTGAAAGATTTGGATCTCGGCATTCTTGATGAGACACGGAGTCTCGACCGTAGTGACGAAGAGATGCAACAGAGAACTCAAGACATAGATGATTTTTTCACTGCCCACCCTAGTGTGCTCCACTGCCTCACAAGGCTCTTTCTAAAAAATGTAGGCTTTGACAAATTGGACATGCACCGTGTCCTGTTTGACTGCTGCAAGCAACTTAAGCATCTAACCCTTTATTATTGTGATACTGGTTCCTACTCTGTCTTTAAGATTGATGCACCAGACTCAAAACTCTGTGTTCTTGAAATTGAGAAGTGTCGCTTTCTGAGAATCGACCTTGTCTGCCTCCCTAAATTGGAGAAGCTCTTTTGCGAGTCTTGGATATCTCGGCCTGCCCCGTTGACCTTTGGTTTTGTCCCAGCACTTGGGCAATTAATACTCTCATGTGGTTCAGTTTGTGAGGAACACATATTTAAATTAAGTGAGCTTCTACATGGAGTAACAAGCATACACACTCTCACATTGGATTTCCAAGGTGAAACCGTAAGTATTACTACTTTATTTGATTTCGTCATGTCGTCACATATATGAAAGTTATATCATAGATATGTTATGTATGATAGAGAACATACATAGCTGTAAATTCTTTGATGATCTCATCTATGTGCTTGCAAACTATCAATTCTTGTTTTGTTTGTTTGTTTATAATTAATTAATGTTGTGGTCAGCTTTGGTTGGAACCTGAAATGGAGGAACTCCGCACCTCATTCAGCAAGCTAAGGAAGCTGTACGTACGTGGTATATTTGTTGAATTTGACATTTCATGGACAACGGCCTTTCTTGTAGCAGCACCATCTGTCGAAATGTTACATATTGAGGTGACGTCTTTGTCTGTGTTTCTTTTCTTGCTCACACTTGGAGCTTTAGTTTTTCACAAATTTTAGCGGAAAATTATTCAAAACTTGATTCCTATGATAGTTCTAATGAATTGCTCGCACAAATACAGGTATGGGAGCATACATGCGATGTGGGTGAGGCCAGACCCGCTTCCTACCTTGACAGAAGGAGTCCAAAGTGGGAAATGCACTTGGATAGCAGCTCCGAGAACAAGCTTCTGAAAGAGCTAGAATTCGCTGGATTTAAATCGCAAGAACAACAATTTACATTTATAAGGTCCATGTTGGAGCGATCTCGCAACTTGCAAAAGATAGTTCTGAGAGATGAGGAGCAGTGCGGTGACTGCGACACCCTTGAGGCACCTCGTCCTTCGAGATTTCCACATAAGAAGGAGGAGCAAGAAGTGGTCGTTAAGCGGATTAGAGATGGCATGTTCTCGCCGGAGATAATTTTTCACAAATAAGGAGAGATGACATATCTCAGGCCAAATAGTTTTTGATACTTCTTATAAGTTGTAAGAAACAGTTTGTATGCTCCATGCCCTGTCACTTAACATTCCTCCTTGTTTCCTGGTCGCTGAGCATTTCAGATTAGTCTTGACTCTGCACATTTGTTGATCTTGTGTCAAAAATGAGCTAGGAGTTAATTCACATATATAATTAGGTGGTTATAGCGTCCAAGCGTCGTACGGGCGTGATCATCTGTACATGTCTCCTGCGTTGCCGTATATGCACCTTTTGTAACAGACCTCCATTGGAAGCGTCCCAAACTCCAGGCAGAGCATGAACAGCAAGAAAGCTGGAAGAAACCTTGCAGCAATGAAAAGAGAGCGGCGTGTGAGGCGAACACCAACCCCGATCTATAATCCAAAGCTCAGTTCGCACGGGGAGCTATCATGCCGTACTGATTACGATGGCGAGCAGAGCACGAACGGCAAGAAAGCTAGGTGAAGCCCTGCAGCAACGAAAAAGGAAGGCGCATGTGAGAACAAACTAACCGGGATATAAACCCACAAACATACTGATATAGGCAGTACCAAAAAGAGAACCACGAATTTCAGACGAACACTGAGCCCACCCACTCCGACAACCAGCCGATACCACCCGAACATATGAGCATGCCGGGCAAACACGCACAGGATGCCTGGTCGCGCCGTGCCTCGGCGTCCTGGGTCCGTCGTCTGCAACTAGCTCCTTTATCTGTGTATCTAGCCTTCCAATCCTCCATACCGCGCTGCTTGGATGGAGAGCGAGCCACCGCAACTCTGCAAGCCGGCGAGCAGCAGGTGCTAGAGTACGGATCTGGGAGGCCAGCGCGAAAGGATGGCGCAGAGGGTACTCTCGCACGCCTAAACCCCGCATCCTTTATTGGAGAGAGCTTGTTGGGGACGACACGTCCGAGTGGTCATGGAGGTGGGGATGGCGGACAGCACGCGGACCTTATAAATGGGGGGTTGTCTCCAGTTCAAGACGGGTGCGGTTTACCATATGATCAAAAGCTCTGGCTGCGGGCTCCCCCTGCATGGTTTCAACTGGGACGGTTTCATGCCCCTCAAGGTCAAGGTGTTCGCCTGGATCCTGCGACATGGCAACTCGGCAGTTCTAGATAGGCGGTCAGGCTGTCTTGGCGTGAGGAGGAAGAAAGATGAGAGGATGAGGGCTAGGGAGCGAGCGCATGGATGCCACGGAGCCATAGGGCATGAGGCGGTGCCGAGAGCTCGAGGAATGGACAGAGGTCGAGGGTTCCAACTTCCAGAGATCGCGTCGAACGGCATGCCAGCTGCGTGATCACCGCGTGAACAGGCGCACACAGTGTGTTCTAACATGGAAAAAGATGTCTACCGCGTGGACCCTACTTGATGGAGCACCACTATGGGCTTGGGTTGAGTAGAGCACCTTTGTGATAAGGGGTAGAATCAACTGCAGTTTGCTGCAGCAATCTTTGACATGATGTTGGGGTCAGAAGACTTGAGCACAAGCAAAACAAGTTGTCACAGAGGTTTAGGATAGGAAGGACTACAGCCTAGTGAAATTGGAAAGGATTTGGACCAAGTTTGAATAGAGTTGCTTCACAATTGCAAATCTGGTCCAGAAACTAGGTTTAGATGCTACACTCACATGGAGTGTTGGATTGGACTGAAATTTGTTAGAGTTTGATCATTTGGGCATATGAAGGCACTGTATAAATTTCATACTATTTTAATAAATAAAAATGGCACTTCCTTCAGAGTGGTCCTCTATGGACAGAAACTTAGAAAACTATTTGAGAGAAATTGGCTAAATGAAATGAGCTCAAATTTGGTGGAGGGAGGTTATATAGGTAGGATCATGTCCTGGTAAATTTTTAGAAATTATGGAGGAATATAAACATAGTTGCTCCACAATATGAAAATATGACCAGAAGCAAAGATTGGATGGTGTGCTCACCATGAGCATGAAATCTTGAATATTTTTACATATCCAAGGTCCACATGGTCCAAAGGAATTTTGAGAATTTTGTGGGAATTTTGGGAAATACAGAAATATAGGTTGCTTCGCAACCTAGGGCGAACGGGGTTATTCCTTTAAAAGAAAGAAAGAAAGTTTCCAAGAAAAATAATTTGGGGTTGGGCTAAGATGGAAATGAAATGATCTTGAGCAAGATTTGTGGGTGATAAACCACTTGGGAGAGGAAAGAGATATGATCTACCTAGGTTTCAAGACCACAAAGCCACAGAAAACGAATTCCAATTAAAATTTCAAAGAGATCCAAAAGAAAAAGGAAGGGCCAGTAACCAGGGCCGGGTGTCACAACAGAACACGTTCTACTCATGGTAGACTTCATTCCACGAACGTCATCATCATAGTCTCCTCCTAAGGGTTACAACTCATGGTAATTAAGGGTTTCCCCGTGTACGCGGCCTCACTAAGGGTTCTCTGTAATCCCCGGCCACTTGTAAAGGTTAGGAGCAGTAGGCTTTTACTATCACCTCGAATTACCTCCACATCTTAAACCTATGCAAAGACAGTGATATACTTCGTGGCCAATAAAGGCACAAATGCTGAGTTGGGACACTTCACAACATTCACGAAGTTATTAAACTATGCATTCAAGAGGTGATCTCATATCCATAATAAACATTTCAGATTCTACACATAGAAAGGTTAATCCATATCTTCGAGAACTAGGGGTCTACTCATAAATAAGAACAACAATCATCATGGTGATAGTAATGGAATACATGGGTTGATGATTCAACTGATACACCGAAGAATCCACTAGGGTTCTTGATGTTACAGATGATAAGGATGTGGATGATGATGATGAAGGTGGTGATGATGTGGGTGATGATGAGATGCCGTTCCTCGCGCTGCGGGAGGAATCCCCTTCTTCTCCCGGTCGATCCTCCACTAGTAGAAAACAGGGCTTTGGTTGGGGCCTGGCCAGCCCATTAGTCCCGGTTCAGTCACGAACCTGGACCCATGGGGGCATACGTCCCGGTTCGTGAGCCCAGGGGGCCGGCCGGGGCCTCCTGGGCATTGGTCCCAGTTTGTGTGGACCCTTTTGTACTGGTTCCTGGCTCGAACCGGAACCAATAGGCCTTGCTCCTGGCCCACATACATTGGTCCCGGTTCGTGGCTAGAACCGGGACAGAAGGTGGAGCTTTAGTTCCGGTTATAGCCACGAATCGGGACAAATGAGCTGCCTATATATACCCCACCACCGCAGCAGAGCACTCCACGATCCTCTTTTTTTCTGGCCGGCGAGGAGAGGGCATTTGGGTGCTCTAGCTCACCTCCTATGCACATGAGGTGTTCGATGAAATGCCCTAGCCACACTAGTTAAGCTTTCTCCTCTCGAAACTCAACCTCCAAGCTCCATTTCCCCCGAGATTTGCATAGGTTCAGCGGTCTGTCACGTCCCGTCCCCGTCTTCACCGCTGTCGATCGCCTGCCCCAATCTCGTCGCCGGCACCACCGTGGTGAGTGATAACCCACAAGTATAGGGGATCAATTGTAGCCTCTTTCGATAAGTAAGAGTGTCGAACCCAACGAGTGCTAAAGGTAGAACAAATATTCCCTCAAGTTCTATCGACCACCGATACAACTCTACACACGCTTGACGTTCGCTTTACCTAGAACAAGTATAAAACTAGAAGTACTTTGTAGGTGTTTTCGGATAGGTTTGCAAGATAGTAAAGAGCACGTAAATAAAAAGTAGGGGCTGTTTAGATAAAGACACTACTAAATTAGTTTTAGTAAAGAGCTTTTTGTCACGAGAAAGTTATTTGTCCCTAGGCAATCGATAACTAGACCGGTAATCATTATTGCAATTTTATATGAGGGAGAGGCATAAGCTAACATACTTTCTCTACTTGGATCATATGCACTTATGATTGGAACTCTAGCAAGCGTCCGCAACTACTAAAGATCATTAAGGTAAAACCCAACCATAGCATTAAAGTATCAAGTCCTCTTTATTCCCATAGGCAAACAACCTACTTACTCGGGTATGTGCTTCTGTCACTCACGCCACCCACCATAAGCAAATCATGAACATATTGCAAACCCTATAGTGAGAATCCCTCACTCTTGCGCGACACGGAGAGCACCATAGGACAACACCAACAATAAAACATGCAACTCAAACCAATCACGATCATCAATTAACCCATAGGACAAAACAGATCTACTCAAACATCATAGGATAGCCATACATCATTGGGAAATAATATATAGCGTTGAGCACCATGTTTAAGTAGAGATTACAGAGGGTAAAAGAGGGGTTACACCACTGATCGAGGGGGGAAGAGTTGGTGATGATGGCGGTGAAGTTGTTGGTGAAGATTGCGGTGATGATGATGGCCCCCGGTGGCACTCCGGCGCCACCGGAAGCGAGGGGGAGAGAGCCCCCCCTCCTTATTCTTCTTCCTTGACTCCTCCCTAGATGGGAGAAGGGTTTCCCCTTGAAGGAAATATGCCCTAGAGGCAATAATAAAGTTATTATTTATTTCCTTATATCATGATAAATGTTTATTATTCATGCTAGAATTGTATTAACCGGAAACATAATGCATGTGTGAATACATAGACAAACAGAGTGTCACTAGTATGCCTCTACTTGACTAGCTCGTTAATTAAACATGGTTGAGTTTCCTAGCCATAGACATGAGTTGTCATTTGATTAACGGGATCACATCATTAGGATAATGATGTGATTGACTTGACCCATCCCGTTAGCTTAGCACTTGATCGTTTAGTATGTTGTTATTGCTTTCTTCATGACTTATACATGTTCCTATGACTATGAGATTATGCAACTCCCGTTTACCGGAGGAACACTTTGTGTGCTACCAAACGTCACAACGTAACTGGGTGATTATAAAGGTGCTCTACAGGTGTCTCCGAAGGTACTTGTTGGGTTGGCGTATTTCGAGATTAGGATTTGTCACTCTGATTGTCGGAGAGGTATCTCTGGGCCCTC